GAGAGGGTGAGGAGGGGGAGGTGAGGAGGGGGAAGGGGGGGGGTCCATTCCCTAACCATCTGGATCTATTGTTTCAGAATCGGGGGTGAAGGTTGGAGAGCTGGAGGAGGGGAGAGGCGAGAAGACAGGAAGGGAGGGGGTCACGCCCTCGGTGAGTCTGGTCAACCCCAAGGGTGAGACTCTGTCAGACCTCCCACCTCTGAGAGTCACTTTAAATCATGAATATGGGCAAGTACCCTTAATTAAATTAAAAAGTGGCATTTTCCAAGCACCTTAACTTTTGAATGGTTACATGTACTGATTTATGTCTTGAGTTTATTATTCTCAAACCTGGATTACAGCTGTTTGTTCACATAACAGTAGTGCTTTATTGGAGGGGGGATACACAGTTTAAGATGCACACTGTAAAAATGTGTTTACGCAAGTAAAAATCCACACACTCACTCGAAATAAACAAGAATAAAAAGCAAAAAGGCTCTAATAATAGAACAACTGAATAGATCGCTTACCACCACCATGAATGGAGGAATCCGGGGGGCTCCCCTAATGTAATATTCTTCTCCCATCGAATCTGAGAGAAGGAAAAGAAAAAGGGAAAGGAAAAGGAAGCCAGAAGAAAAAGAGGTCACTTATGGCCACTAGAGAGGGAGGATTATGTCTGCAGGTCCGAGGTTAAGAACACATAATCAGTTAGTCTCAAACTGTCACTGGTATCGAATGTGAAGATCGGCATCCTTCTGGCTCTGTGCATCACCCTCTTCCCGACTATCTTTCTTCTATTAGCCCTCTACTGTTCCTCTTTTTGAATGTAAAGTACAATCATCATCTAGAGTATAGCTTATTAATTTACTTCCTTACACCCAAATGGGCTGTCAGCAGACTTGAGACAATGCAGTTTACAATACACTGCCTATAAACGGCTAGAAATAACATTACTTCACCGGTTCACTAAGATCCCCTGGTTGGACAGTGAGCATGATCCGGTGTAACGTTATAGGATTTCCTTATGAAAAATTTATGCAACACCTTGCACCCTGTAATCATGTTTAGCATGTTTGCACTGACGATGTATGCCTGAGAGGGTACAAGCTGCTATAACACGAGCTACAGGAGGGATCTATCGTGTAAAGCTTGGTAATGCAGGAAGCCGTTTTCCATTCATTAGTAACCAAGGCCAATGTTTCTGGTAGCATGTACTTGAACAGGAGTTGGTAAGGTTAAACTATAAGGGTGATTTTCAGGAAAGATGCAAAGAATGAAGGCATTTCTAAACCGACCGGGCTCGGTACAGCATAAAAAAGTCGATGTCATGGCTGCCGTCTTACCTCAGACAGGAAGGTCTGTGCTGATTTCTGTGCTCCCACATGTAGCAGGTATTCGTACACATATAACGCCAACCTGAAATGTAAAAGAAAAAGAAAAATTAGTGATATTTTTCAAAATTAATGTCAAACTCCTCTGTCTTCGTCTTGCATTTTTAACAAATTAGACAAAAAGAATGAAGATTATGTATCAACAGATCAACGACTGTTCAACTGTGAAGAAGGAACAAACTATTAACAGGAAGTGGCAAGAGTGGGAAAAATAAAAAGAGTCAGGGAGGGTGAAGTCATTTAGAACTTTCCTCAATCAACAGAGAAGTTGGGTTAACTAAATGTCAGTCAGATACTGTTAGGGCTAAACAGGAAGTACTTTCTGAAAGTTCAGACAAAGGTTCAAACGTTCAGCCATCAGGCTAACCTATAACATCATGCAGCAACAGAAGACTGGACTTACAATGACCAACCTAAGATTTTGCTTGTGTTATTATAGTTCTTTTCATTACAGTGAATAGTTCTATTAATACAAGTAAATATCCCAGTATTACACTCCATACTATGCATACATGCATACTCATAACACTGCTGTACATTTACAATTTAACTTAGGTGGATTTGACTGGGATTGGGATTTATTTTAATTATTAAATAAATAATAAAACTTTTTCCATATAGTAGTGATTTTTTTTTAAAGTAATGCATATGGCCTTGCTAAAGCATCTGGACATTTTGTCATAACCTCATCACCTCCTCACTTGGTGATTAATTTGATTCGTCTTTATGGGTCTTTACACTACAGTAAAAACAAAAGGGGCAAAATGAACCTTCAGTTCCTTAAACACTTCCTGGACATTAGTTCCTTGAGCTCAAAGTTCCGGAGACTTGGAGCTCCTCCGTATTGTTATCTTCACTTTATTTCGGGATGGCTGTAAAGTCACTGAAGAAAAACAAAAGCTCCTGTGACTGAAGCTCTACAGCGCCTCTGTTCTCCTAGACCATAAATCTCACTTAAACGTTCTGGGACTCCAGGTGGTCTGTATAGTTTGCTATACTTTACTGCTTCTGTGCATTTTATTAAGCCTAATTATCCAAACTCCTTTAATCACAACAAAACCTAAAGACATTCAGACTCTTTGAAGAATACGCTTCTATTCAAAGCACCACATACCAGCAGAAATAGCTGCACATGACAGGCATTCCCAATCGTTCCAACAATATTTTAAAAGCTCTTGTCAAACTTTTCAAAATCGCTGCTATTATAACAGGCCAGCAACACTTGAAAATGGCAATCCACCAGGGTCTATTAACAGACAGACATCCATGCTGTGGAGTGGGAAACCCCCATTGGCCCAACATTGTACTCCTAACTCCTTCACTTAGTCATGTTTAATAGGCTGTTAATGGACCATCAATCGACCAGCAGTGTGGATATGACAGTGCCCCGTGTGCCCAGAGCAGACAGTCCTCTGACAGCCCAATAAGGTCCTAATGAGAAGGACAGTAGCTTAGTGTCATAGTCCCTATCATTAGTCGATGAACTGATCAATGACACATGATTTTGAGATAATTAGGATGTTGTTCAGTTTGTTTTCAACCACTGACAGCTTTTTTTTTTCCAATTCTGTCTTCGTTTCCAAAGTTACTTCTTCATAAGATGAAATATCTATTAAAACACATTTAATGCATTTAAGTCTCTTAAGAAGATGCTAAAGAGGAAGTTCTATCAGCATGCAATGAAAATAAAATAGATAAAGACAGTTTAATAACCGCCGAGGTTGCAAATACTCAAATTACCCTTAGGTTTGTGCATAGCTGTGGTCCTGAAGTGCATATGGACTAAGATTAAACCTTGGGGTGTGTCTATAAAAAGAAAATTAATCCACCACTATTATTAGGACCATTGACTGGAGGCTCAGAAATCATTTGTCAAATGTTCTCAAATGTTTAGGCTTGACGCGTCATCTCTTGGTCACAATCTGGTAAATGTAAAATTTATTCTGACTAATCAGGACGCCTGATGGCGCGACCCTGTGATTCGGGGATAGTTATGGTGGGTTTATATCACAGTTTTCTGATTTTCTATTAACCAATCAATAAAGCTGATGAGTGCATGCTGTACATTAGTCAAGTGCTGGCTTGTTTTAAACTTCACTCCATCAACATAATATTATTTTTATGAAATTTGTTTGTTTTTTTAATTGAAGTCAATCTGAAATCTTTAGATTAACAGTCAAAACAAGTATAACAATTAACTCCAAATTTCTGTCATTGGGATAAAGGTCAATTTTATGTGACAGCTCACCTGTTTTAAGTGAAGTAACAAATATTTGCTAACTGATCCTGTCCAACTATTTACTATAAATTTACATGTAGCACAGCTGCCTGTACTTCATGTCTAAATGTGTGCAAGTGTCTCACCTGCTTTCTGACGCTGCAGACAGACATGCAAAAAAGGTTTAAGCAAGGACTTCTAGAAATAGCTTGAAGCAACTAACTTGAGCTCCAGTACATGTTTTGTCAAACCCCCAGATTACTGTTCTTACTTAAAAGTAAAAGAATTACTTGCTGTAACAAGACTTCCTTAGGTGAACCTGTGGAAGGATCACTAGCAGTTGCCTCCAGCTGCTTGTGTCTGGAGATGACACAGGGCCTCGCCCCAGTCCTGTTCCAGGGCATGCGACTGCCCTCGTGGACATCCCTCGGAAAACTGTAGGTTTTTACAACCCTGTTTACATTTAGTTTTTCCATTCTAAATATCAAAATCATCCAACTTGATTTCAAAAAAATGTTTAGAAGCTCAATAAAAGTATGAAGTTGGTTCAACTGCCATTGTGCTAGTATTCAGAATTATCCAGTGTTAGCTATGGGGATGTTAAACTGCACTTGTTTCCTTATTCTTGTCTCTTTTAGGAGTATGTTTTGCAAATCATCCCAGGCTATAAACACAATCATGTAGAGCATTGTTCTTTAAACTAATAACCTGTACTGAAGGAAAAAAAATTAAATAAATGCGCTTAAAATAAACGTCCAGATAGTAAAGCAATGAACAAATTCTCTGTGAGGTTCAAGGCTTAATAACAGAAATGGAAAAAAAACTGCCATGGGTTACGTTAAGAGATATGATCTGTGACTGACCTGTACTTACTACAAATGGTATGCAAATGTTTAAAATATGCATTGTTAGTATGCAAATGTAGTCTGTGAAAGATATGAATAGGCAAATAGACAGTAACAGCAGTGATGTTAGTCCCTACATGCTCAAACCTTGTCCTTCACGAGAGAAAACAGGCAGAAGACATTTAGTGAGCGGATTTTAATGCATGTTTCTTAAAAGTTAAGCAGAACACAGTATGTGTATGATTTAACACAAGATATCAAACTGAAGGTGGCAAATTCATCATCATCCATGACCAGCTCTGAGTCTCATTCATATATTTCATACATATATACACATGTATATAACCATCAATACACCCGTTCACCAACATTGTTGGACTCAAAACCTGCAAACTTCCAAGACTGCTCACACAATGTATGTATAAGCCTATAGAGACTGTAAGCCACCTTAAAGTCCTGCATGCCGCTATGCGTCGTTGGCATTCAAGTGGGTCGACATGAGGTGCACAACCTTCTGTCCGCTTGACCTGAGCTTAATAATATAATATGCACTGTATACTAGCGCTGCAACAAGTTGGACATTCTGGGCCATAACTAATGATTGAAATAATTTAGACAGTAGTGGAAACCGATTTGTTTTTGTAATTTTCCACTGTACCCTTTGTGTCAGGTAAGCAAAGATCTGCGTATTAATCATAAAGTTTTCAACCGATTTTGAATGAGCTCAAATTGTGTTTGTAACTAATAAACCTGGATCCCAGATACAGAAAACTATAAATGGAGTCTAACCAATGGCAGTAACATTAGCCGACAATAAACTGGTACATTCCTATTGGTTGCTACTTTGAATAGATTTAAGTGATCTGTCTAGGCGGGAATTTCAATAAAAGAAACATTTTGCAACTACCCAACTTGTCTTAAAAGTTAAGAGTGCGAGACCAAGAGAGAACAGAAACTGAAAGTTTCTTTGTAAACACACATCCCAGCTGCAGACACGGTTTTCAGTCAGCAATAATGACACATGTGTTACATAAGGCTAAACTATCAATGGGTCAGTCCAGGTTGAACATGTATCATTAGTAGTCCTGCACTTCATGCGGAAAGAGATAACAGTTTCAAAGTGCTGCTTTCTCTGCGTATGTACAGTGGGCTGACCTGCTTGGAAGGTAATAAATAACTGAGGGTGTTTCCCTGTTGCAGATAGTCACAGAGATAAGAGCACATAAATGAACAGGCAGACATATCGATGAACAAACAAACAAAGCACAACTGGCCTTGACTTCTTCGCAGAAGAATTCATATTTTTTATTATATTCCATGATAAATAAATCTCTCATAGTGCACTGATATTTCAAAAGGAAGAAACCATCCCGAGTGCAACCACTTAATTCAAAACAGACAGCATGGCAGATTAGTTGTTGTACAAATAACCAATGCTCTTATGAGGCTAAAGGCTGCACTTCTGCTGAAACACAAACACACGCGAACACTTGACCACTTTAGCCAGGGGAATCTGACCACTTTCTGAGGCTCCTAGCAATTTGTAGGTCACAGAGCTCTCTGTGACCGCTGGTGTAGAGTGTAAGTCACTGCCACTTGCAGGTCAGTCTAGCATTGAGCCACACACAAGCACCTACAACGCACACACACATGCTATGCATCACAGAGCTTTCTACCTCTGCACCTCAACACCCGCAGATTCCTTGGATTTAAAACCAGTTTTAAATATTTTTGAAATGCCTGGCAAAAGCTCACAGGAAGCTTTAGGATACAGCAAGTGCTTCAAATATTGATACTGTCTGCATGTCCCTGCACACTGCAGGCTTACAGGCTTCCTCAATACATGTGCATCCTTACACAGGAGTTTTGACTGGAAGGAAACGGGTAAGGACTTGGTGTTACGTCTGGGGATGGGAGGTTCACGATGCAGATGCCCCCCAAGAGGCCTTCAATGAATTTTTTATGTGTGGTGTGTATGTGTGTGGGGTTTTTTGTATGTGGGCTGCAAGAAGGGGCGGCTTGTGTGTGCACCTGGCCTACTGCATTATTAAAGCTCAGAAGCTTGGACATAGAAAAAGAAAGAGAAGTTTAAGGTGAGGAGCCACTAGCGGTTGGTGGAGTGAAGGGAGAGACGAAAAAATGGCTTTGACTGGAACAAAAACGGGAACATGCCCAGTATTACAGTGGAGGGAACAGCAGGTGGTACAGGAGATTAGAGAAGCAGTCAAGTAGCAGTGTGTGATATTATATTCATCAGGGGAGGTTAAAAAACTGAAGCAACCCTTTTTCTGCCAATTGTTAAGGTTGTGTGGCCTCCACATAGCTTGACTCGTACGCTACTTGGTTGGTATTCTCTCTCCTGCTTTAAGAAAAATTTTCTTCCTTCTTCCACTTCATGTGAGGTGCCCTTTGACCTCCCTGCCCACTACGCTCTTATACATTTAAAGATGGGACATCTGCGCGTGCATAAACTCACTTCCACAGAGAGAGAGAAATCTCCCTGATGTACACGGTCGGCACACCTGACATCCTGCCTGAGGCTCCCGACAAAACCCCCTCTTTAAACATGGATGAGCCTGCCCACCATATCTCCCTCTCTTCTGTCTCCTTCTTTCTCTTCTGTCTCTCTCAACTCTGACGCAAAGCTGAGAGCAGCTGCTTCAGTCTGTCTCAATAATTCAACACTGAAGTGAGGGATGAAGAGACTGAGGAGCAGCAGTGGATGGGGAAGTGAGAGTTGGGAGGCAGATGGAGAAAAGAGGTGTAAAAGCCACGCACAGAGGAAAAGAATAAAGCAGATGGCTTCACAAATGACAGAATAGAAGGTGTGGGGTAACGTGGCGCCTGCTGATCTTCATGCAAACATGCACACGAGTCTCACAATTTGGTCCCACTTCAGCTCAGACCGGTCCGGCAAGTCAGAGCTGATGTGTCCAACTCATCCGCTCTAAGGACGAATCGATAAGCATTGACCTGTGTGAAAGCTCTTCCCTCTTCCTTTTTCTTCAGCAGGATATTTAACCGTAGTGAATCCGACCCCACTGTGGACCATTTGCAAAGCACAACACTCCCAAACTGTTAAATCTAACCAAAGTTTAACGAATCTTAATAAATGTCCCAATGCGCTTTGCTAGCTGTGACTTTTAGGAAAGGAAGTTCACTGCAGAGAAGCGTGTCTTCTATTTCGGAACCAGTGCACATGGGGTTTTTACAAAGCTTTTTGAGACTAACGCGAAAGCTCCGAAGCTCACAGGAGTGTTGCTAAACGTGCGGCACGTATCTTCAGAGCGAACAACAAGGCACCGAGGCAGAGGCACACAGACAAAGGGATTGGAGGGCTACAGCTAACGCCATCTAAGTTTCCCAACAAAACAAAAACCAACCACTATAAAAGGCCCATGTGGAACTGCTACGGTTTAAAAAAAAAAAAGCGGCGGCATTTTTGTGAGCACTTTGTCCCCGCCGGCGCTTCGCACAACTCGGGATGACTGCAGAAAATCTCCACGGGCCACAAAAGTTAAAGAGGAGGCGCAGCTCCCCTTTACGCGGAGACCGCAAGCGGCTGTTCGCTGGCCGAACACGGGCATCGCTACAATGTAACCAGTCTGGGTTTCTGGAACAATTCTCGAGCACGTTCCGCTGCTAGTTTGTAACAAAGCCCCAAACAGCTGTATTCTATTTATACCTGCTGCTTCAGCGAGGCGACACAAAGCATGCTAGCTACAATGCACGGCGTCGCTCCAAATGCATTGTTCCTCACACTGTGGGGCGAGGGGCAAAGAGATGGACGTGGGATCCCCATTAATGCTCCCGAGTGCACGTTCAGACATTATCGCTGGAAGCACGCGCAGAAAACACTCCCTGCAGGTAAAAGTGGAGCAACTTTAGTTGCTCAAACTGCCGCTTCTCTCTCTTTTTCCTTTTTTTGTACTTGAGAGAAAACAAGAAAGACAAGAGTGAAATTGGCAGTGCAGCTAGCCACTTGGGCTAACTTAGCAGCCATGCCTGTAGTTGGGAGGATGCATAAGAAGAAAGGTAGAGGCACGAGTACAAACAAAGTGGCAAACACGAAGAATAAAGTAGCACAGCTTTCACTTGAAGTAGCCGGTAAATTTTAGAAAAGAGCTACAGTAACATGCGTGACTCTGCTGGAGTGACTGAACTGCTCCACATCAGTTAGCAAGTTGAGCCACCTTAGCACACTTCTTTGCTGGATTTCAGTTGTGACAGTGCAATATTGTACTTACTTTTCTCTTGCTTGGCTATCGGAGGGGACAACAGCTCCTTTTCCTTTGCCGTACATCTTGGAGGCTGTTCTGATACTTTATTTTATCCCACTCGACACCTGTCAAAGAAAGCTACCAGGAAAACCTACTATCTCCATAGCTACCTAGTTAGTGTTGTCTCCCTATCTCTCCCTTGCGCTCTCTTTGCTCCGGTTTCCTTTTTTTCTACATCTCCAACATTGCCCACAAATCAGGCAGGGTTTCAGCCGGGGGGAACTTGAAACAGTCCGCTGGTGGAGCGTTTTTTTTTTTTTTTTCAATCGCTGTTCCTGGATTCAGCTCACGCCCCCCCTGTTGCGAGACGGTGGGGGCTTCTTAAAGGCACAGTGACTCAGTTTTTGTCGACTTCGCTGAAGTTCAAGTTCTTTTTGATGGCCTTCAAATTCAGGCCTTACATTACATGTGAGTTCATATACAACACAAGATTATTCAGATTGAATGCTTTTGGTGTTTTGAAACATTTTCTAAGCAATTATATGTCAATATGTATCCTGCTAAAGATTCAGGGCTTCATTTTGCCACAGCAGATGGGGGCTTGATAGTCCCAAATACCCACCCTTGTTGACCTGTGTACCTCTAAATTACCCCTGTGGCCAGTCATAGCACCAGTCATGCAGTGACACCGTATAGGGCAACCAGACACCCCAGTCCTGTGCGCACAGAAAAAGATATCTGTTATTACCTTTGACTGCTGAGCCTTCGGACAGTCGGCGTACACCACTCATCGATGCTATCATGCTGACATATAAGTGAAAATCAGAAGCCTTTAGTGTTTTTATTTTATTGTATTTTATTTTCCATGCAATACTTCTCTATTGCCTCCCAAACTAGTGTTCTCTGACCTCAACGGCCCTTAAAGGAGGAGGAGTAGGAACACAAGTAATTGAAGAAAACTCTTATTCTGCTATAATTTAATCTTTTTAATTTTGTTTTGTTGTGCAATCAGTACGGTCAGCTGCTTAAAGCACATAATTCACTCATTGTGTGTCTAAAGTGTCCCGAGGTATAAAATATTATCAATTTTATGTGTTCTGGAAGATAAAGAAGTAGTTTTAGCGTCACTAGCAGACAAATACACCCACTGTATATACAGATGATAAAATTATCCTAATCTGTTTAGTCTTTTTCCAGTTTTATCTCTCTTTATTCACAAACCTTATCATAAGGCCAAAAAAAAGTTTCTTATATATTCAAAGAATATTTGGGGCAACACATGTTGTCTCAATTTCGAAGGACTCTTATTATTTCACTAATGAAACATTTTCTACACACTGTAAAATGTGATCATCTCTGTGATCTTGTATCAACATGCTTATAGTTTATACAGTAAAAATAAAATAATTAAAAAGTGACCATCTTATGAAGACACAGGGATGAGAGCATTAAGGAATTATCACTGTTCACTAGCTCCGAGTTATATTTGTTTTATGCTTGTAGACACACAAGCTTCGTTTCAATTTAATATAATATTAATACTAATAAAAAATAATTGATTATCCAGGTACGGGGCTGGCGCTTGATATGTAATGCGTTAGTTTGTGTCATGTCCCTTTAAGAGTGTGTAGAGGGCTGTTTCAGAGTTTGTGTGTGCACATGGGTCTGTGTGTGTATATGTGTGTAAGGCAGGGACAGGCAGTGTGTTCTGTTTTCGTGCTACTAGCTGTGGGAAGGACACAGCTGACTGTCTGCGGGCGTGCACGCCTGCGCGCACGGCGCAGTGTGTATGCGCGGAGGCAGGCGCACGAATTTCTGTGTGCGTGAGAGTTAGAGAGAGAGAGAGAGAAAAGGGTGGGAGAGAGAGAGAAATATTTCTGTATGTGTGGTAAGCCTTTTTTTCTACATGAGCATGTACCTCATGATGAGCAGACATTATATGAAAGAACAGAGGAACAACAGATAAAAAACACTAGCGAGGAGCATCATTTTTATGGAGGACCAAAACATTTTTCCTCGGTGAACTAGTGAATGTAACATAGCAACAAAGAAACACTGAGTGATGCAACAGACATAAGAGTGTTGGGATTTTTCCAAGGGACATACAGTATACCCTGACAATAAGAATACATTTATTTGCAGCCTATTTAAAATCACTCAAATATGACTGGGCACTTAGCTGTGGACTGCTATTTGTCTTAAGCTTAATGGTTTCATATTTGCATGCAGTGTAATGTTTGCAATAAAGCAGCTAAAGACTGCTTTCATGTGCAAACACGGGAAGGTCTTCAAAAAGTTTCCTTCTCCTAGAGTTGGGCAGATCATTCCAAATATCGACACTACTGATACCAACGCTGGTATTGGTATCAGATACTAGTATGATAGGATCGATACTACGTTCAGCGTGTAGCCCACTGAATTGTGTTAAATAATTGTCGCATCCAAATATGATTTATGACCTATTGCACTGTTAAACAACAGAACAACATTTACATTCCAGGTCTCCAAAAAAGAAACAGTTTCAAAATACAAGAAAAACTAAAAGGTGTTTTTTGTTGTTTTAACTAATTATTGTAGAACACGTAAATCACAGTGGTCATTAAAATGTGTCCCGAATCAAGTAAATTGATGACGATTCATCTCGTGAATCGCAGCACATTGCTTTCCCCTACATAAGCTACCTTAACAGGTTAAAAATATCGGTACCGGTATCAGTATTGGTATTGGCAGTACTCGGATCAATAGCGAAGTTTGTATTGCTCAGCACTACTACTTTGAAATGAGATGTTGTTTTCAGATTCTTCTACTCTGGTAATGACTTTATAAAAGAAGGGTGTCAAAGTGTGGACAGAGAGCCGAAAGAGGAAGAACAATATGCATTTTCAAATTCAGCCAGCTGAGTGCTGACGAACTCTGAGAGAGAAGGGGAAAGTGAGAAAGTGATGGTGTAGGTATCTTTTAAGCTCTAGACCACAAACTCCATCACTGTCTCATCATAGCACCAATATTGATCCAAGAACCCAATGATCCCCGGGAACACTGGCTCTTCCTCTTTTGCAGAGAATAAACACAAGCAGCGTCACTGTGTATTGTGTGTCTGTCTCTCCGTTTCAAATGCAGATAAGGCTGTTGGGCTTTTGTCGTCGTGCTTTCCCTCTATATATGATAATTTTATTCAATATTGGATGAAATGAAATCAGGGTGATTTGGAACCAAGCTGATGTTACATCTTGCATCAACAATGGTGTGTAATGTTTTACAGAAAATGGTAAATATAAATTGTCCGATCACATCGCAGCTGAAATGTCATAAAAACAGTTACTGTTACGGATCAGCTGTATTTAACAACTTTTTTTTCAGGTTTGACAAGTTTTCTTCTGTTTGGCAGAGATTATGGGTTCATTTATGTGTTTTTGCATTTAGTCCACGCACCATACAACATATGTCAATCTTTATTTGGTGCATTATTGGGTTTGCTGTCATCTGAACTACCATTATCCTCCCTTTCTTTCCACTCCATCCTTTCTCCATCACTTTCTTGCTTCTCCCAACATGCTCTCTTTCTCTCTTTATCTTCCTCTCTGTCTTTCCTTCTCTTCCACATCATCCTGCTCTCCTCTGACCCACTTTAATGCCTTCTTGCCACTATCTCCCTCTGTTCTTCCCCATGCACCCACATCCTTCATCTCTATCTCTGTCTCTCTCGCATTCTCCTCCCCCCTTCCTGTTCTTCCTCCATTTCACTTCTTCCTGTTCATGCTTCTCCACCCTCCTTCCATTCCATCTCCTATTTCTGTTCCTTCTTCTGCTTCTTCTTCCTTCCGCGTCTTCCTCGCCCCTCACCTTCTTCTGCCACTTCCTCTACTCCCCCCCCCCCCGATGCATCTGCATCTCTACATTCTTGTGCAGTCTCACTGAGCATTTTCACTTTCTTCTCCCTCTGTCTTTGTGTTTTTTGCCTTTTTGTTCTTCATCGCTCCCACTCTTTCCTCGTCTTTGTCTTCCTCCCCTTTTTCCTCCCCCTCTGCCCTTCTCCCTCATCTTTCCACCTTGTCCCCCCCTTCCCCACCACCACCAGCCCTCACCTCCCTCCTTTCTCCTTCCACCATGAGTCATATTGTGCTCTCTCTTTCTGCTCCCCTCACTACGCCACAGAGCCATTCAGGACAGACATTCATCAGCGGCCTGAGATGATAGATGCTGCTCACCACAGCTCCAGCAGCCAGTTAGCCTGGGGTGATGCCTTATGCATACAGATATCACCTGGCTAGCTGTAGTCTACTGCTTCGCCCAGGATCGAATACACACAAATGCTCTCAAGTTTACGCACGCACATACTGCGTTGCCTGGTGTCTAGGACTGGCTCTGTGTGAAATGGAAAAGTTTGGAGCACGGAAGACTTCGCCGATAACTATATTCGCCCTTAACATAAGTGTAGACAAGTGTGCATGCAGTAGTGTTGGAATGGATTTTATCTGTGTGTATACGCGTGTGTGTTCTGGAGAGCGCTAGGTATGTAAACTCCAGGGGAGTTAGGTTAATTGGGTCTGAAAAAGAGGTGGGTGTGTCTTTCTCCTCTATGACAGGCTTATTTACATAGCAAAGCTGTAATTACCCTAACGAAGCCCCTATCCTATCAGGGAGATTGCACACACACACATACACACACGTGCAAGCCCCAAACAGGTTTGAGCTCAATCATGCCAAACCTGTATTTTTCATCACTCCAGATCCCTCTCAGAAGCATTCCATTCACATGTTCATTTCTAATTGAATGGCATCCTTTGCGGTGCCAATCAGTCGGTTTGTTGGAATTTCTCTATCAGAGCTCATTGGCTTCTAAGAGAGATATGGGACTCCTTCCAACACTTAGCAATCACTTCCTTCCTCCCCCCTCCCCACCGTTTTCTTTTGTCAGAACAGGCTTTTTCTTTGTGAGTTAATGCAGGAAAAAAAAAAGATTTTCTTGTGCGATATCAATTTAAGTCACGAATCCAACCCATTGTTGCAAATAACGAGAAGACGTAAGAACACCGTCGACATTTCAGGGACTCTATTAACTATTAAACTAGATGAAGGTAAGTTAAACCTTATGTTACCCATGTAGTGGTGCTTATTTAAGCAGTTTGTTGAACCTTTCAACAGATTTCTGTCATCAGTGTGTTATTTATGAATGAAATAGATGTACGTAGCACAAGACTGAGGTTTCAGATGATTTACAGAACAGAAAGTGTGTTTTTATCTCCTTTTTTTTTTTTACTTTAGTAAATAACTAGATAAGACTTGCAGGCCTCTGAAATTGGTCAAAGGATTCCAGAAAAAAAAAACACTTTCTACTCGATTTCCGCAACATGTCGACATAAATGACCCGTGACAAGCTAAAAAAGAGCGCCAGTAATCAAATAAGACCAAAAAAGAGAGAAAGTTGTGTTATTGAATTATGCTATCGCAGCTTTTCATCTACAATTGACTTCTCCCTTCACAGACATACAAAGATGTTGTCCTTTTTTAAAATGTGTCTCTCATTTAGATACTGTCACATAAATATAGGAAAAGGCAGTAAATAAATGAATGAATAAATAATGGAGAACGTGACAGACAGCCCTCCTCCTGCAGCTCCCCCCTCTCCTCTCGGAGACCCTTCACAGACAAACATGCACATGCTTCCTCTGCGCTAAAAACAAGTCACTGCTGAGGTTTTGCTTTTAATAATTTTTTGTACTGCTCACCTGCTGCAGGTTTGAAAACAAAGAAAGAAAGAGAACTTGAAATCCCAGAGGAGACAGGCAAGGCTAGTTGCTTCTTAGACCACTTGAATTATTGAATTAGATTATACAGATAAACAAATAAACATGACACAGGTTTAAATGTGGTATGCTTAGTTAACAAAAAAATGGAAAAGTTTGTGGTCTTGTTTTCTTCGGTGACGTATGAATTGAATTTTTATGTGACAAGCTCCAAAATTAACTGCCACTGCCGCAACATGAGCGGGCATGAATAAATGCAAATTCATTCACTGTGAAATTTGAGCGTTTTAAGTTGCGTAATAATGTTTTACCCCACCCAGAGTCGTATCACTTCACAATAAATAAAAGAGTTCAAGCTGAGGCTGAAAGGCCTCTCCTCTATACGCTCAGGGTAGACATATATAAGCTCTGTTCATTGGCTGTTTGGGGAAAGTAAACACTAAAAGACTTTAAATTGTGTAAAAATTGCATGGAAAAAAAAATCACTGGAATTTCAGTCCGAATAAGGGTTTCTAAGCCGTGCTCGCAAAGGACTAAGTGCAATTACATTTTGTAACATGCATCCAGCATGCTAGATGGGGCTGTGTGAGTATTTTATAGTGGAATTTTCCTTTAAAAATATCTGCACTAAAGCCAAAACCAGTACCTTTACCCAGCAGCCCCACTGCCTGCCTCAGTATCTGCCCTTCCCTCTCTCTGCACTTCCTATTCCAACAGGAATTTAATCTTTCAAACCATCGTTGTTTTTCCTCTCCCCTATTTTTACTGCTGCTGCTTCTGCTGC